AGTTGGTGCTTAGGGCGTCGTGTTTCGCGCCCGAAGCAAAGCACCCGCAGCGTTTGAGACCGAACGCCAATTACATCCCCTTCACTGACGTTTTCCAAGTCGTAGCCCCGGACACGCGGTCCCGACTTTCCAGGGATCCGGGACTGGGGCAGAGGTTTTGGGTTTTGGGCCCGTGTTAAACGTTGGGGGTTAAAAGCATCTCACTACTGTCTTAGGGACGGTAGTTTCTCAAACTACCACATATCCGAATAGTTCGCCGATGTAAGGACTCACAAAACCTTTTCTTTCCTTGGAATCATCCAAGCATCTCCAAGCGTCCCACGAAAGGCGCGAAAGAGACGATGCCCTGAAAGAGGGCGATCGGCTGCGCGCCGAAGGCTCAAAGCGCGTTCTTGGGGTAAGGGATTGAGGCTTCAAGATTTCAGACCCCGGTGGCTTGGGGTTAAGGTCCAGGGCTTGGGATGCAAAATGAAGTAGTTTTTGATTCAGGAGCAACCTTGCCTCAATCTTGGGGCCTCGGCATCGCTGGATGCGCAGTAGCAGACTGTTGGTGTACTCCGCGCAGCTACAGTAGAAACTGCAACAAGTCAGACGTTTACTGCTAACATAGCACCCCACATACACTCCCTTTCCACTTCTTCAGCAAGCCCTCCAGAAAACCCTACATCTCCACCGCAAGACCGTGCATCTGAAAGTTCCAGGAGAGCGGCTAATGAGCCGCCAGGAGGCCGTGCGCAAGGAGACGGAGGATCTGGTGCAGCAGAAGGTGCGGAAAATCAACCCCGGAACCTCCGGATGTTTTAGGGTTTGGGGTGTGTATGCAATGTATATACGTAGTATGTACGTGTATTATCTTATCACCGCTTTTTGGGGCGGAGGGGGAGGGAGTTCGTTCAGGCTGCAGGGTTTAGGAGTTTAGGCTTTGGTCTTTTGGGCTTTAGTGGGTGGGTTTTGGAAGGTTGGGAATTAGTGTTCTTTTGTGTGGGAGTGTGCCAGATCCCAAGCATGGGCTGCGAGGGGCTTGGAGGTTCTGAGACTGAGTCGGAGTTCTTTCGGCTGCGGATTGGAGCTCATGCGCATTTGGCAGTGATCAGTGAGCATGCTCTTCTTCGCATGTCCCGGGTTTGGGGATCCTTCTGGTGTGTTGAAGCTCCTCACGTGCGGCTTGTGCTTCGAGAGGGTTCACTCATGCGCCACGGTCATGAGGAGGATCTCACAATCCCCAACACTGCACCATCAGACGCCCCTTATCTCGAAGTGACGCTGGAAGCTGCACTCAAACTAGCACGGAGCCTCAATGCAGGACTACTTGTAGTACTCTTCTGAATGGGTTTTGTTTTTTCGGGAGCCAGGTTGGTTCCCAAGCCGGGTAAATCTGCGGTGGGTCGTTGAAGCAGGCAAAACAGAGCTCGAACAAATTCCCCTTGCAGTGTTTAGGATCTCGCATTGGGGATTTGGACTTGGGGTTGTTAGTGTTTGCGATGTAGGGTTGAAACTTCAGGTTGAGGATGAGGTGTTGTGGATAGGGCAGATGGGGATCAGGAAATACTGTCCCCTTAGAGGCACTGTGCAGTTCTACTACCCCCAATACCCGCTGCGAGGAGCTGCTGCTGACCGTGGTGGAGGAGCTTCACCGGCGGACGACTCAGAGGCTGCAGGTGCTTGGGCTTTAGCTGTTGAGGCTTAAGGTTTAGGGTTTAGGTTTCAATATGTTTCAATGTTTTGGCGGGCCACGGGGGTATTGTGGGTTTGGGGCTGTGGGCTAGTGGATCCCCGGAGCTCCTGAGTATGGTTTTAAGTACGGTAACTCCATTTGGGGTTGCTTCGCCCTACTATAACCTAGTTTCTAGGTCTCTTGAGCCTTGATGCCAGCTTCCCAAACCCGGTGTTCGGCTTCGGGCTGCTCGTAGCAGTCCCGAGATTAGGTGGGCCGCCCCTCGTCGTTGTCACAAGGTTGAAACCTTACAAACACCCAACCCCGCACCCTGAACCCCTAAGCCCTAAGCCTGCCTTTCACAGAGCCGTCCGAGGACCTGCAACAACGCAGGGATCAAGGAAGTCGCGCGGCACTCCATCAAGGACGGATGTCGTAGGCTTTCTGGCCGAGTCCTAAATTAGAATGGGGACTCAGACTTTGAAGGTATAGGGCCAGGGTGTTGAGCTTAATTAGGATGTTTGCTGTGCTGTTTAGGGTTCACAGGGCGTGGGGCTTCAGCTCAAGCATCAAACTGAAGAGGGGTTCAGGACTTGCCCTAAACCCTATAGGCCCCAATCCTTTCTTAGCCTATCTAGACGGTGGCGGGCGCACAGGGCGCCCTGTGAAATCATGTTATTTCAGGGTTTCTGCTGACGAATGGGGGGTGGGGGGGGGCTTGATATCGTCCGTGCGTCGCAGAACTTGATAGCGTCCGTGCGTCGCAGCATGTCGTCTCGAGTGGACATTAGTGAGCTGCGATGGCGCTCTGCTGGCTAGCCCTGACGCTCTCAGCCGTCATCATTCTGCGGCTAGCGTCAGTGTCGTTGCCGGGAGAGATGGGTGGCTTCGCGTCGTTTCCGGTCGAGGAGCTCGAGTCCTTCTTTGTCGAGCCTTGCTGCCTGGTTTCTGGTGTTGCTCTCATGTTCTTTAGTTCCAGCCTTTCTTCTTTCCAAATTCCAAAGAACCACTGGGATTCCAGGTTCTCTGCGCAGCGCACCCTGAGGGCAGCGCTGAAAGAGCCGATGATGCTGATAATGACACTGATGACGGTTGTCATGCGATGATGATGCTGATGATGCTGCTGATGATGACGCTAGTCATAAAAATGCAGTAGTTCCCGTAACTTCCTATAAACCTGTTTTTTGTAAAAATCGTACTGGCACCACAGTTTCGCGCACTTTCTAAGTTCAAATGTAACGGGGCGCCTCATGCGCCCGTACCCATCTAGACTCCAAGCCCTAAAGCCCTAAACCGGAGGTCCGAAACCCTAAGAGCTTTCGTATCCTTTTTGGTTCGGACGACTTGGGTGCGTTCAAAGGTCCGCTTGCGGCTTTAGCTACCCCCCTGAAGCACCTAAAATCTCCCGAATCCCTCAAGCTCCAACCTCCAGGACATCGGCGAATTCACGGCGAACTTCCGGCTCACCTGACGAAAGTCTAGGGGCCGAGGGTTTCTAGCCCCAAACCCCCGAAAGTCAACCCGGTTGGCCGGGATTTTCCGCAGAGGGCCCAGGACGTTTCAGAAGACTAGGAACCAAAACCTCTTGGGTCGAATTGGTAGGTATACCTGAGCCTGAACAGGCTTCTCGCATCGGCAACATATGACATGGGTTGTGCAGAGGTGTGTGGTTTGAGGACGGCCAGCGCGGCACTGACATCGCTTCAATACATGGAACCTCGGACTCCAAGCTGCTGCCGAAAGCATCTTCTGTTGAAAATTGGCGTTCCTGAACAATGACTGCCAAACTCCCGAGTCAGCCCTGACCTTAACCCTGAGCGCTAGATTAAACACTCCGAAAGTCTATCGCTTCTTGATAAGCTTTTAGTCCGCAGGAGGGGCCAGTGGAATTCTCTGGCCTCTTAGAGGCCCGACGACGGCGGCGCGGAGAGTGGGACAAAAGCACAGCAGATATGGGCGGCGCTCTAGAACTAGGGCTCGAGTCTCCTTGAGGACAATGTAGGGTTGTTCTCTTAGGACTGCTAGGATGATGAATATTAGGACCCAAAACACTAAGAAACAGTATCAGGGCTGTCAGGGTTTGGTTTCATGGTTTCCGCCGTTTCCTCTGCAGCTTCCGCCGCCTCATCAGTCGCGTGCTCCTCAATCCTCCGCTACCGCCTGTTTTCCCGCCATGTCTGCGCGCATTGCTGCGGGCCTGCTGCTGTGCCTCGGGGTGGCTCAGGACAGACCACAGATGAAAAAACCTTAAGCCTTTCTTTCAAGCCTCAAAACTTATACCGCTGAAAACCGAACCCTGATAGAAAGCAAGAGCCGAAACTCCCAAACCAAAAACACTCAACCGCGGCCTTCAAGCTAGCCCTAACGCTACAATCCTTGAACCGTCAAGATAATGCAAGAACTGTGGTTTCCTTCTGTAGAATCAAGAACTGATGACAAACAAAAACCCTAATCAAACCGCCTTTCAACCGCCTGGCCGTTCGAAGACAGGGATCGGGCTCGAGGGCTGCATCTTGGTTCTCCGCGATGCTCACTGGCATGAGGTAGTGTTTCTGTTTGGAGTCAAAGGTACCGTTTAGGGTTTAGGGCTTAGGATTTGAGATAGAAGGCCACGGGCTGAAACAAAACGGGAACCAACCGGAACCTCATGCTCCACCTACCTGTCCTCCTGGGGTCAATTGCTACTTACATCCTTCAGGGCCGAAGCTTCTCACGGATCAAGTGATGCAAACCCTAAACTTGAGAGGTTCCATCTCTCTGAAAGGAGCCCCTTTATTGGGTTTAAGTTTAGGGCTTTAGTCGACTTCTTTTGGCAGGCCGAGAGTGGAGTCCAGGGCCTGGTCCACTGGCTGGAGAAGTCGCCCGGCTCACGTTTCGAGTGCTTTCAGGGCCGGGGCCCTAAAGAACACACACGACAGGCCCGAAGACAGCTTGGGCTTTGACCTCCCCTTCAAGGCAAGCCTTAATCCGACACCCCGAAGCCCCAAACCGCTTAAGCCGCAGGAGCCCCAAACCCAAAGCAGGAACCCGACAACCCAGAAGCCGAAAGCCCAAAGCCCAGGAACGGCCCCGAGCTGGCCGACACGGCGGGGCACTGCGTCGAAGCGATGTCCATGGCCAAGAGCCTTTCCGAGAAGTGCCAGACAACCAAGTTCGATCCGGAAGGTCCGAGAAGGGTGGTGAAGGTTTAGGGTTTTGTATTTGGGGTTTAGAGTTTTTGTGGGTTTAGGGTTGTAGGTTCAGGCGGTTTAGGTGTTGGCACTGGGGGTCTGAGGTTGTGAGCTGGGTGTTCGTCAGTGTTCGTTAGGCCTGTGAAATCATTTTTGCCTGCAGGTTTGCGATTATGTATACCGAAGGGCCTGCCAAACACATCGTGTTTACTTCGGGTCTGATGGGGCTATAGACAGGGGTTGACGTTTAGGGCAAAGCTCACGGTCAAGAGGGGCAGGTGAGAGCCTAGGAACAGAATGTAAAGAGTCTAAGAGGGCTATTGAATCCTGAATTCCGGCCGTAGACGTCTTCATGAAAATGAGGCCTGCTTTGAATCTTCTGAACTACCACTACCATAACTCAGAACCGTTACCTGCTGTTTCGTGGCCGTTTTGTTATGAACCCTACAAAGAACTTCTAGATGTTAAAACGAGATAAATTCGTGTAAAACCTGGAGCTCGAACCCCTTCTTGGGTCCCTGTCGGCTCCCCTCATTTCCTAGCACCCCCGTTGTCGTCCTAAACCCTCGACACCTGCATCCTACATAAATCCCTGAGCAGAAGAGCCCCGCGAACCCGAAACCCGAAACTCTCAGCCCTTAACCTGTGCCCCTCGAGAAGAAGAGCCCCAAAAACTATCGGCGAGGCATGGCGGGGTTGGCAGCCTGGGCCGTGCTGGAGGCTCGAGTGGTTTCAATAGCTCAGGCTCAGGGTCTTCAGGGTTTGAAGGAGTACTTGGGTTGTTTGGGTGTCGGGTTCCATGGTTCAGCTTCAAATGGGTTTGAGAGCACAACTCTAGGCCCCAAAGAGACGGTTTGAGACGAAGTTGTGGGTTTCCGCCGCGGGGTTCCTCAGGAGGTGGGCTGACAGTGGGGACACGACCCCTCTCCATGCCTGCAGATGAAATTAACCTCTGCTCCCCAAACCGAAAGCACCCGGCCGAAACCCTCATACTTAAACCCAAACCCAAACTCAAGACCCCAATCTTCAAGCCGTTGCCCTCACCCTCCGCTGCAGGGCTTGGAACACATGCAGGCCCCCATGGCCCAGGACACGCCACCTTGAGCGCATGGGGGGATGCTTCTAAATTGGGGGTTCCCTTTAAGGGTGTTCGGCTTGAAGAGGAATTTCCAACCAGAATATGGGGTGACCAGGTAACGAACGACTTCGGCATCTTGCTTGACCAGTTCTTCCAAGACAGCCATTGAAATTGGATTTTCCCTATCGTGCTCATTGCGCCCCTGTGTCTCTCTATCTCTTTGCCTCGCTCGTCCTTGTGCATACTAGTGACTCGTGATCGTCTCCTCCTAACTATCGCCTATGGCCTCTTGTGCTGTTGGTCTTCAGATGAGTAGCTGCTTCTGGAGGCATACTCCCGGCCTATGCCCAGCCCCTAAGATCACAAACGGTAGCGTGAACGCCGAAACACGAAGCCAGCCCCACCCCCCTTCCCTGAGGCAGTCGGCCTGGCCTCTCGAGTTCGGTAGGGACCAAGGTTGCAAGGGTTCGTGGATAAGGGGAGTGTTTCTATGTCAGGGATTGAACTTTACGGGCTCAGGTTCCAGAAGTTCCTTCGTTTGAGACAGGGCGGCCCTAAACCAACGAACCCCGAACCCCAAGCCCTGAACCCTCAAAACCCCTGAGCCCCAAAGCAGCCCTACTCTCGAAGCCATAAGCCCTATAAAGCCCAAAAGATGGTTGTGCAAAGAGGGTGTTTATAATAATTCCCCCATTTCAAAAAACACTCCTGCTGGAAACTCCTGTCCTCGGAGTGCGGATAGCCGCCACGACCTGGACAGGAGTTCGTCAACTCCTCCCTCGCCAAGTTCTACAAGGGCCAGGCGATCAAGCGCCTCTGGCCGCGACGAGATCCAGCCCTAGAAATCTTACAGGGTCTAGGGGTTTGTTGCATGCATGCACCCATGCAGACATGCATATAATATTACAGACGCATGTGTCTTCAGGTTTTTTATCCTTTTGTGTCAGATGTCGGTCTATTACATGCATCGATTTGTTATTGTTGTGTCACAATAGTCCAGGTATTGTTGGTGTAAGTCCCCTGGAATACCATCACGTACCCTAAAGCTCCCGAGTTCAGGATTGACCGCTATAGAGTCACAGGGTTCGGGCCTGAAATTTCGAGGAGCTGGTAGGGGGGTGCTGGGTCTATCGTTCTCAAAGGATCGTTGCGATTGGTCTTGTGTAGATCAACCCCAAGCCCTGGAACCCTGAACCCTCAAATCTCAAGGCTTTTGGCAAGCATGCCCCCACATCTGCCAAGACGAGGATGGTGCAGGGCTGGACCCACCGCTCTCTCAAGGAGTGGGTTTCGAGCTTGAGGGTTTTTGAGGGGTTCAGGCAGGGCATTGGGTGTCGGATTCTGATCCGCTAGCTGCTTGCGTCCTAAGTCGTAGGCCTGGGAAGTATGTGGCCTTCAGCGAAAGCCTAGGCATGCGAGAAGCAGTTCAAGTCGAGTCAGCACTGTGGTAAACGTATTGGCACAGGTGGTAATGGTGGTCGTAGTGATGCTGATATTGGTAAGAATGACGGCGACATTGAGAGTGACGACCAGTGACGACGATGTTGGCTGTTATGGTGAAGCCGCGCCCCGGAGATGATGGTTATGATAAATGCTGGTGATGGTGGCGGGGGTGGTGCTAGCGACAGCAGTTATCCATCACGACGACGACCACTAGACTTGTCTTCGTGCTCAGAGCCCCTAGCTGCCTAGCTCGTCAACCCGAAACTCCAAACATTGCCAGTCCCAACATCCGAAACCCTGAACCCCACGAACCTAGCCTTCAATCCTGATCCCAACACCCACAGCCTAAATCCCAAACCCACAAGCACTCAGCTTCGAATCCTGGACCCGGCAACCGCCGTCTTCTTGACGGACACCCCAAAAAATTCAGAGAGACAGAAGGCAGGATCCTAGAGCTTAGGGTATGCGGGCCTCTTTTACAGGGAGGGATTCCCGGAAGTCCTCTTTCCTGTGATCCTTCGGCCCCAGTACCCCGAGACCCTGACACCCTACTACACTGAACCTCTAAGCGCTTGAACCCTAAACCCCTCACGTTTGATGTGATCCTTCGTGCTTGCGGAGAGGAGTTCTGCGATGGTGACTGCCTCAACGGGTTGGAAAGCTTCGATGCGTCTTACGCAAAGTGTGCCTCAGCTGCAGCCGTTCCTTTAGGTTTGGGGACTGGGGTGACTGGGCATCTCTCTGAGGATGTGGTGCTGCTGGGTGAATCTAGAGTTCACTCTCCCGCGGAGCAGTGTTTACGCTAACCCCTAAACCCTAAACCCGTAAAAAACACTAAACGATTGAAATTCTAGAACTTCAGGGTTTTTAAGGTTGAGAAGGCTCGGGGCCATTAACGTCTCGGATAGCGGGTTCAGAATCAAGCTCAGAAGGTACGGCGAAACCCTGAAGATCGATTTGCCTCCGGCAGCCTTGCATGCATCCAGCTTATTGAATAGTTTTGGGATTCAAGCTGCAACTCAAGCCTAAACTTCCTGGAACTTCCTGAACCCTTGAAATACTGAACCCTATACCTCGGGTGAAGGGATCAGGGTGCATTCTCTGTTTGAGGGAATCCCTGAGCCCAAAAACCTGGCCTCAACCCTTATCCGCAAGACCCATAGCCCCAAGCCCAAAAGACAAAACCGACGTCTCATGTTGTGAAGCCCGAAACCAGGGAGGAAGGCCCTGTGCATAACCACGAAAGCAAAACTTTGCCGTTTGCCGAGGCTACTCGTCGGCGATTTGCGCCGCGGCCCTGTCGAAGGAGATCCCCTACGACCACTGCAAGAAGACGATGGTCCCGCTTGGGCTTTAGGGTTTATAGTTTAGGGTCCGAGGTATCAGGATCGGAGGTTAGGGTTGCAGGCTGCTTTGGGTTCTGGTGGAGGATTAAGGGCTTGGGGGTCGCTTCCTTTCCGGCAGGTTGTTGGCGAGCCTTGGCTTGTTTGTTTAAGGCCGGGCCTGTACATGTACATGCACGTGCATGCGTCTGTGCCCATATATATGTACACACACACATATGCTACACGTTGTGTATGTCTGCGTGTTTGTGTCTATGCATCTATATGTGCACATTATTCTTCAGGGGTGGCAGTAGCACGTAGTGTACCGCTATATCTATACACGCTCCCTGTGTGTATGTCTGTCTTTTGTATGTACGGATAAATGGGTGGATGGATTGATAGAAACACTGATGGATAGACGGACGCGCACATATAATACATGCACGTCTGCACGCAAACATGCAGAAATACACATAAACATATATATACACACACACACGTGCATCACCGGCACAGACACATACGTGCATACATGCATGCATACATACATACCTACATACATACATACCTGCATACATACATACTGTAGTCACACAGGCAACAGACAGACAGACAGACGTGGACAGACAGACAGACGTGGACAGACAGACAGACAGACAGACAGACAGAAGGTGACAGTCAGACAGACCGAGTCAGACAGACAGAGAGACAGACACACGGACGTACATGCGTACATACATACTTCCATCCATGCATGCATAGAGACATAAAGCATCCATGCACAAGCATCCAGCCTGTCAGCCCGCCAACCGGCCAGCCGTCCTTCCATCCATCCCTCTCCAGCCATCCATCCATCCATCCCTCGGATGTTGCTATTGGTGCTGATGCCTAATCAATGGGTTCAACGGCTAGGGATGAATGAAAGGAGTTTAGGAGGGAGAAAGGTACTTGGCACTCAAGTCGCCAAAGGTAGTTCCAGCCCCGAAATGCCGCTCATCCATGTGTCTCAATAGTGGCACAACTTAGCATACATCGCATGGTGCGTGCACATGCGTGCGCATGGATGGATGGATGGATGGATGGATGGATGGATGGACGACGGATGGCTGGCTGGCTGGCTGGCTGGATAGACTCTGTGCTCAAACGTCCGGCCCTGATCAGAGCCTAAAAGTGGTGCCACATGTAGAAAATCGCTGTGGTACTTTACAGAACGTCTGTTCACTATCCCAAACACGCTAGGCCTGACAACGAATATTCTGAAGCTCAGCTTGCACCCTAGCCCTGAAACCCCAACCCCAAAACGAAGTGAGCTTAAACCAAAAACCTTGACCCCAAAGCCCATACCTAAAGTGCGTGACTCTAGACCCTACACTCTATAGATCCTAAACACAACTCCCAAACTAGGCCACACTTCGCCTCGCAGGAGACTTTCATATTGCGGACCATGCGCATCGAGCAAGCTATGATCTGCAGCAAATCCTCCATGTCCGACTACTTCTGCGCCGAGGCCTTCAGCTTTAAGGCTTTGTCTGTTTGACTGTTTAGAATTTTGGTTTCTGGTGTTTGGTGAGTTTTCTGGTTCGGTGTGTTTGGTGGTTGGGTTTGGGGCCTATTGTTCAGGGCTCAGAATTTTCTTGGGGAAGGGGGTTGAAATTTGGGGATCGGGAGGCTTAGGGTGGCGAGCTCAGGATTGGTTTTGATAGTTGACCTCCAAAAAAACCGAAGCCCTACACCCTTCAAGCCCACACTGTGGCACCAGAAGCCAAAGCCTAGGCTTTTACGAACACCCCAAACCCTAGCCCCCACGAGCCGGCAAACGAAGCAGGAGAGGAACACCCTCCTTCTGCAGAGTCCGGAGTGCTACATTCGCTTCATGACTCCGGTGCTGGACGAGAGGCGCGGGCAAGCTAGAGTTGGGACTTTCTGACTATATGTCTGTATACTGCTTAGCGTCCCCAGCACCCAGCACTTTGGTGTTCCAGTCGGGTCGTCGGTTTGGAGCTTTGGGTCCAGGTTTCTCGTGTTCGCGTTCTGGGTTTCGGGTTATGGTTGGATTGCTTAGTGGCTCATGCAGATAAGCTTCCTTCGATTCACGGATTGGGGGGGGCAGGAAGAGGCAAGACTTCGAAAGCCCAGCACGGCCTTAAGTTCATGGGCCCTCCAGCCCCAAATCCTCGGACTGTAGGCCCTACAGGCAGTAAAAACCCGAATGTTTTTTCAAGTCTGGGAGCTTTACGAGTTTGGGGCACCATGATACGGAAAGCATCTCGGTTACGATGGATTTTTTCTGGCGTCGTAAAACAGGCAGCTCCTTAACGGTAACCTCTTTCAACTCTGAACCTTTAAACTCTCAACCCTAAACCCTGAGCCCTAAACTGTCAACCCTATGCCCTATACGGCGTCGAAAGACTTGAACTGCAGAGGACCTGCTCAGCAGAGTGCGTGTCGCAGTGGAGCGAGGCGCTGATTAGCTCTTAGCTCGGTTTCCCAATTCCCACACTTCAAACTCTGGAATCTTCACTGGAACAAGATCCCAAGGTGCCTCAAAAACGAGATCTGGGATCGATAAGTATCCGTGCTGAAGCGCTTGCCATTCTGCTTGTTTGTTCGACAGCGCTAGCGTAGTTAGAGTTGAAAGGCTCCTGGGTGTCGTGTTGCGATTTCGGCAGGTTCGAGTTCATGATATACGGCATTTATGCGCTCCCTTTGTTGAAGCACTTCAACATTTGCGAGCGTCGAGGTTTTATTCAGGGTCTAAGGTCCAGAGATTAGGGTCTAAGCCATCATTGCTTGGGCCTGTAGGGGACCTTGGTTGAGATAGACATGTAACGGGTGTCAACGTCACAAGGACTATGCTTCTGGGGTCTGCGCCCCCGGGTTTCCCCGAAGCCTTGCTTCTACCCTACACCTTAGCCTAAACCCTAAAGGCCCTAAACTCCAAGGCCTTCTTTCTAACATTGAGTGTGCCGCAAGTGGAGGCGCAGTCGCTTCATCCGGGCTGCTCCTCGTTTCTCCAGCGTCAGACTCAGGCAGTCTCGACAATGAGCCTTGGAAGGCAAATGGGTAGTAGGCTGGGGCTTAAGGGCTTTTGTCCGTGTTCTTGCGAGGAGCTACGGTGGGTTTAGGGTGTAGCTCCCTCGCTTTGGGGTTAGAACTTAAAGTTGAGACCTGTGGCCTGCCTTGTACCCATCTGCTCTTCGGTTCCACAGTTCGGAGTTTCAGAAAGTGAAAGAAAAAGAAACCCATGTGGTAGGCAGGTTCCTGGTTGCCGGGACCCCTCATAAGCACACAGAGCAGACCCATAAATGTATGCCCTGCGTAGGACATGCCTAATTGTCAGCAACCGTTGCATGCGGCTGAGTGCTTCACTCCAGACAAGTGGGAAAGGTCAGAGCTGCGATCCACATATGCACATACACTGTGTATATGCGTGTATGTGATAGACATATGATACATATATGTGGTGTGTGTGTGTGTCTACAAATGACATATATGTATGTATATCACATATATCACATATAAATGATATGGTATGGTATGATATGATATAGCGCATGCATATTCCTAAGAGCTCTGTGGTTGGAAGGCAAGAAGGCAGTAGCTGAACGAAGGCTTTTAATAATCAGAGCCACCCAAAACCCCCAAAAAACTCTGAACTCCAAAGCCTCGGCCTTAAAAGCACCAACTCCACCCTCGAGCATCTTGAACCCTAAACCCCTAAAGCCCTATGCCCCTAAAGCCCTAAATCCTGAGGACCTTGTGGTTCATGCGGGAGTTGATCAGTGGCGCGAAGAATCCAGAAATGCGAAAGGCCTTGGATCATCTTCCCAAGCACTTCATGACCTTCCAACAGGCCCGCTCAGGGTTTCCAGTCGAGTGAGGGTTTGGGTTCAGGTGATGGGTTGAGACTGTTTGGAGGTCAACGCATACCATAAGCAGACTGGGAAGACGCAGATCTGGGCTTGCAGCATGATACCGTTGTCAGGGCTTGCTCCAAGAGCCGCTTGACCGTGGGTCTTTCCCTCCAGACCATAGATGTGTAATACGGGGGACGGTAAGATTCTAGCAGGGTTTGTGAGGATATCGTATAAATTCATTCATACATACAGACCATCCGGGACCAGGAATCGTTACTATTCATTCCAAACTCTATATTGTCTCAAAGCCATGAGCACACCATCTACAAAGTTGAGCCTGGCTTGCCTTTAGGGCAGTTCCCTCTGAGGGTTCAAGGGTTGGGCAGTGTCAAGTACCTTACGTGGACGCCGAGTCTGCAGCAATCCCCAGCTCGGTTCCCGCTCATCGGTTTGGGGCTGTGCAAAAAAAAGTCCGAAACGTTTGCCACGAGATTTGTTTCCTCGTTGCAGATTGCTCACAGGCCTGCATGGGCCCAGCCACTGCCATGCGTCCAAGCCTGGTTGTGTGAGGTTCCTTGGCCCCTGAACTCGGGCTTTGGGGTTCAGGATTTAGGAACCCGGGCTTTGGGGTTCAGGGTTTGGGGGTGTAGTGCGGAGTGCAAGCAGAGCTCACCGGAATTGGGAGTTGTGGTGTGAATATGCTTCCGGGTTTAGCAGATCTCAATCGGATGCTCGAAGTGTGGTTCTTGTATCATGACTGTCTTCATCACCCGGAAAATCTCGTCAACCCCCCAATAGGCCCTGTGCCCTAGCCCATACCAGAGTCTCACCGGCTCCCTTCTACCATTCCAAGGCCCGTTCTGCAAGGCTTTGGTAGTCTGAGCCCTCGCGCTTATGGCAGCCGCGTAGGTTGCACTGTACAGGGCGCACGCTCCTTTTTTTTGCAAGCAGCAGCCTTGCAGCAGAGTGTGTGCAACCTTAGGCATTAGGTTCGGATGGCAGTCCCTGAGAAAGCAGTACCTGAAGAGGCCCGAACTACAAACTCGAAGCCCCTCGGCCCTTGAAGCGACATAGGCTTATCAGGAGCTGCAGGTCTGGAGAAGTGGATCCCTAAACTAATGCCGTTGCCTGACAATCCCACGGGACCGAGACGCCACTCCGAAAGCTGTGTGCAAAGCAAAGCTCATTCCGCGGGCACTGCCTGGGTGCCCTGCAGCTTCAGCGCCTCCTGCAAACATGGCTTCGATTCGATGTCAAAGTGATGTATGCCCCGCCCTAACCTCGTAAACAGACTAGACACTACTAGACACCAAACCCACTGAATCCTAAACCAGGGCTTGGAACAGCAGGCTGCGGAGTTTCCCGGCTGATCCCCTGCGGGTTTAGACCCCCCCAAAAAAAAACATACCCCCCAGTAACTCCAAAGCCAACGCAGGCGTCATGCACAAGGACCTCAAGCCCGAGAATGTGATGATGGCCAGCCCCCGGAAAGCTCCTCTGGAGGCCGCGGGGTGGGTGTTTGCATTTTTTTTAGTGCTTCTGGGGCTACGATTCTGGGCTTACGAAGTTTAGGGTATAGAGGGTTACCGGTAGTCTGTTTTTGCACTTGTGTCTTAATGGTTGTTTGTGTTTTTGAGGGGGTCCAAGAGCCCAACCCCGAGAGCCTCAAACCCCCAACTCCAAACCCGAAGCCCTGAAGCTTTAAACCCTCCACTCATTAATTTACATCCCAAGAACCACATCCCCCAAAAAAGAAAAGAGGAAGGAAGGGAGAGAGACGATAATTATGGGTGTGACTTCAAACGGTTAGCTACAAGATTCTCAAGACCGCACGAAAGAAATCCGAAGCCCCCAAAGAGCCCAGCTAACACTGAACCGAGGCTCAAATTCATAATATCATAGAAAACGACAAAGACATAGTTCAATTTACGATACTGAACTATAATATAACATAACGTAATATAGCACAGAATAATGCAACAAAGTGAAGTATAATAGAATATAACGTAACATGATGTAACACTATGTGGTATGATATAAAACAAAATACCACAAGCTGGTACGATAATTACCCTTTTCTGCCGAGGACCTGCACGTGGTGGTCGTGGACTTCGGCCTTGCCCAGTGGCCATAGCCTCATCTTTCCGGCATCTTGCATCGGCATTGGATTGAGTTTCAGTTTTATGCATCTTTAGCAGAATCTGTGCAAGCAGTGCATACACTCGCCGACGTTTCTGTATATACACACACACATATGCACACGGACGATATTCATCTACGGTTGTGCCTGCATGTCTGTTTCGTAAGTCTGACCGGAAGTTGTTGGCCCTTGCCAGAAAGTCATGTTAGTTGTTTCCATTCGCTTATGTTTGTTGGCACATATATGGAAAGTCCTGCTCTGCCAGCAGCTATGCTTGATGTGTGCTTTTCATACTTGTAGAGCTGCTTCTGTTTGTGCGAAGCAAGCCTCTCTGTATGCACTTTAGCTCATAACTCACTTTGCGCTGGTGTGAGGTTCTGCCTCTGTTTACTCTGGGGGTGTATGGCGGCAGGTCTTGCGTAGAAGAATTTTCGTCTAAGGCTCAATGCCTTGAGCCTCAAGCCCTAAAACCATGAACCCTATAATACCGAAACCCGAATGTAATGTAGGGTTTCGCTTGTGGGGCGTGTCGGGGGGTGCGAGATATGGAGGGTTAGGAGATATGGAGGTTAGGGTGTAGCGGCTCGGAGTTTGGAGTTTAGGGTTCGGGTTTTTGGGGCCGGGTCGGATGGTTTAGGATGGGAGCTGCTCTTAAACAGGATTTCCGCGCGAGCAGCGTTCTTGCAGGGAAAGGCCGGGGTGTTGATGCTGTTGCGCGCAATGACCTTTACGGCAGCAGGTGCACTAATACCATCGGCGACGGCCACATGCGGTCACATGCGGAGCATTTCCGCTCCGATTGGCTCGAAAGAAAACCACACATCCACGCCCTAGGCCACCTTGAAGCCCTTAGAAAGCCCCAAACCCTGAGCTGTAAAAACCTTCAGCCCAAAGATGTCCTAAAGCTCCGAACTCCAAGAGCCCGAAAAAAGAAGCCCTACAAGCCTAATCCCCCAAAATCCTTCGAGATACAAATCCGACCGCCCAAAAAGACCTGAAATCCTACGTCTGCCTATGGCCTCGATCCTGAGGAGGTTGAAAATGCCAGTGAAGGCCTGCCCTAAACGAAGTACGAACTTAGGGGGTGTAGGGCAACGTTTTAGGGCACTCCCTAAGTCAGAGGTATGACTATACCTTGGGTCAGAAGTCACAGTAAGAAGCCCTTTATCATTCAAGGTATAATTTCCCATCCAACCAAACAGAACTCGGCTCTGGCGGAGGGGGTTTCATGGTTTTGTGGCTCAGCAGGCCGAGGAGTCACGTCGTCGGGGGAAGTAGGGTCAGTAAGATGGGTTATGGTGGTAGCTGCAGGGGTGCATAGGGGCTAATCGGCTATTTTTACTCATCGAAGTAGACGTACGACGCCAAAAGATCGTCAAACGGGGCTCATTCATTGATGAAGCCGCGGCGAAGAGACATCCCGGCTAGTGCACTGAAGCTAAAGCCTAGCGCTCCTATAAACTCCGACTTCTTGCCGAAGCTGGCTTCACCCTGTAGGATCGGTCCCGAACCCCGAACCCTTTTGAAGCCCTACCGGAATCCAGTAGAGCCTCCCTTTTTCTGTATGGCTTTCAAACCAACAACTGTGTAGGTGGTGGCAGGTTCAAACGAGCCCTTATATAAACCGACGACCTTTATCCTAAACCCCAGAACCCCGGCCCCATAAACCCTCTTAATACAGAGGTTTGTTGAATTAGCAATCATCTCCCCTGCTGTGCGAATATAACCTTCAAACCCCGAAAACACGTGACTGGTTAAGGCCTTGTGTCTTTTGTGCAGGCCATCGTGGTGGAGAGGTTTGGTGGACCGGAGGCGCCTTTCCAGGATCTCTCTTGGGGCTTAGGCCTTGAGGGTTCAGGGGGGTTCGGGTTTAGAGCTTTGGATGTTCGGATCTTAGTTAGTAAGGAGTTTAGCATGTTGGATCCTGTGGCTAGCTAGGCCTCGGAATGTGGACAAAAGAAATCAGGATTGAGTACATAGATGGGGGGATGCTCTCGATCTGGATTCCTTTGCTAAGTTCATGCACCTTCACTCAGGTACCCCAGAGACTCATAAACCTCCAAAACCCCTTAATCCCCAGCACCCATTTAACTCACCCATTTCATCACGAACCTTTAACTTAGCACCAGAGGCCCTAAAAGAATGGCTCAAGAGACCTGCGGAGGTGTTGTCGCTCTCCACCAAGGAGCTGCCGGCCATCAGTGCTGGCCAAGTCCGGGTCAAGGCTGCACGGCTTTTTGGGTGATTTCGGTGCTGTATTCGTAGTGCAGCATTCACCGCTTAAACAAGATTTGGCTGTAGACCGTAGCATACTTATATCTATAGGAGTTATGCCGAGGTAGTTTTACGAATCCGACTGGCTTCAGGGCATGTGTTTTCGAATGAAGGGTGTAGATTAAAGCAGAAGTATATATGTATGCCGACAATAGGTGGAGCTATAATGGATATAAACAGGAAATTGGCTTCACGGGCTTTGAGGGTTACGAGGCTTAGGACTTTCTGAGGGTTAAGTGCTCTAAGGTTTGAGGGCTCGAAGGCTTGACGGTTTTGGCGTTTTGGATTAGGGCTTTAGTGTTTTGGGGTTTTGGGGGGGTTGAGGAGTCGTCGTAAGGGTCGGGGTTGAAGGTTTGGGATGTCGGATTGAGGGTTTTCGAGCTTGTGGGTTCTAGAGTTCGGTTTTCCGGTTTAGCGTGGGTGGTTTTGAGGCTTAGGGGTTGGGATTTGCCGGGAGAGGACTCGGGGTTCAATTCGGGGTGTTGGGGCTGGGTTCAGAGGTTTGGGAGTTGAAGCGAATCTTTAAGCTGCATGGTTTGTCGCGCTCGCCTGATGAACTCATTCTGCTGTGTACAGTGGCCTTACCTGGGAGAACTGCGCAGAATGCCTAAAGCATATTCTCATCCTTCGGCCCCTGGGCTCTGCATTTACTCTTACGAAAGGCTCCCCGAGAGACATCTCAGTTCTCCAGGTAGAGGCTTCCGGGGTGAACCCTTCGGACACCTACCTCCGCCTGGGACCAACTGGCCCCTACGCGGCGGTGCCCCATCTGCTGCCGCCGCTCCGTCCTTTGTGGGGGCTTGGGGGCCTTCGGCTATTACTTGGCTCATATGTTTCGGGCTGCCGGTTCTGGGCTTGTTCGGATGAAACTATGACGGGGTAGTAAGTTTGCAGCTACGGCTATTGCTGCTTTTGCCGCTACTGCTGCTCCTTCTCCTCCACCTCCTGCCTCTTCCTAGACATGACGATGTTGAAGTCTCGCTTTGGAGCGGAGGTGGTCTCTGAGTTCTTGGAGCCTCGTAGCCAAGAGTTCGAAACGTCCAGCACCCACCTGTTCCTAAAGCCCCAAAGCCCTGCAGGAAGAACCAAAATAAACCTGCAGCAGGCAGCAGAAACCCGGGCGTGTCCCAAGCTTTGGGGAGTAGACCCCCGAAGCTCCCAGTATTAGTTCAGCTGATCCGGCAACCTCCAGCTGCTTCGGGTTCAGCCAAGGTCCCTGCCGTGGACACCAGGCATCCTGGGGCAGATCGCAGTGCTCAGAGAGCCCAAGTTGCCCTGTAACCCTTAAGAGAGTAGCGTTGGCTTCTCTGGATTTGTACCCGTTTGTGTGGCGGTGGGCAGGCTGTAGCATTAGGCTTGGGGGTTTTTTCAGGTGCGTCACTAGGGCCTATCATTAGGGCTTGCGGTTAAGTGAATTTCGGCGAGACACCTCACGGAATATCCAAGAGGAGCCCAGACTTTCATGACTCCAAGAAGACCCCTAAACCTCTCAAACGAGACCGGGCAGACCCCTGGAACCCTGAAGCTAGGCTTTGTAGATTCGAGGGCCGAGAATCCCGAGCCCCATCAGCTCAGCCTGAAGAACGCAAACCCGGAGATGGCTTGCTGACACAGGCCGCGACGGCGCTGGGATAGTGGAGGAGCCCGCGATTCCTGCCGGGATTGGTGAGGGAAGGGTTTGGGGGGCTACGGCTAGGGTCTCGGGTTCGTCATACGAGCGTGCCCCAACGACCAACCCCTGAACCGACAGTGCTCTTGCGTTCGCGAGGAAGGTGTACGGTCGGGGACAAAGCAATGTTCGCGGACAGGTACCGCCTCTATTCCTCTCATAAACACACCCGAGATTAAGGCCATAAAGCCACAACCCTCAGCCCGGAGGGCTAAAACCACAAATCCCCAATCCGATATCCCAAACCCCGACACGGGACAAGCCTCAGCCTTTCAAACTCTTCAAACAAGGGCATCGGACACACACGGGAAGCCCAATGCCCTTTACTTGAGGCTTGTCTTATACTGTAGAGAGCTTCTGAACTGATAGGTTTTTTTCCCGAAGTTGAGGGTGTATTATTGGGCTCGCTGGTTGTTCTTTCATCTGCAAGGAGGTCGCCCCCGATGTGGGGAACGTCCGCGTTGGGCAGCGTGTGCCGCTTGATTCGACCCCAAGTTATACGTAGGTAGCACTAGTGGGTAAGTAAATAGACAAGGTGCGTGTAAAACTAGTCATCACCAACATAGTGAGACTGGTACGATGACGAGTTAATATGCTAGACAATGTGCACATGCAGTCATACCAATGAGCCAAAGATGACAAGACAGCAACACTAGGAACAAGAACAGCGACGCTCCAGTCCGAAGCCCCTTCAACGGAGATCCCAAAGCCTTTGAAGCCCCAACTCCGGCACGAGTTGAGCTCCTCGCCCAAAGCAGCGGTAAGTTTAGCGGCACCTAGTGGGGTATGGATGTGTATGGAGCTTGTAGGGGTTAGGTTCAGGACCCATTGATCAGCAAAAATACCTATGACCGGTGTCCATGCAAGATGGCTGTCAAGTACAGGTATTGCAGAGTGTATGACCCTGAAGTGTCAAAGTCTAGCAGACATATTCTGCACTCTCAGGTATGTTTGCGGCACAGGCACGGGGACTTGTGCTACACACATGCTATGTGATGCTGGAGGGGTGCACCCTCTCCCAGATGCTTGGCATGGTTAACACAGAGGTCAGGGGAAGCGGGGGGGGTGCGAACATGAGGCTGCCGGAACGACCCACTTGCCCGGCAAACGGTCGCAGGTAAGGAATATGGCTTGGGGGTTTGCGGTGTATAAAGAGTTTAGTTGAGGTTGTTGGGGTGCAGATTCTCTCCTGTTGACCTTTTTAGTTCCTTGCGTGTCTTTCCAGCCCCAACCTCTTTATAGCCGGAGAGCTGAGGACCGAGTCTCCTTTGCGCAGGGCGCCTGCATTGGCGTTCCGTGCGCCACCGCCTACTACGCGCTCAAGTGTCGGGCGAAGGCGACCCACCAAGTAGAGAGTATACCCCATGTAGCGACCAGAATCCACTGTTTCACTGGCTCGGAAGCCTCAAGCTCATGCCGGCAACCTTTCAAGCTCACAACCGCGGAGTCTTATTCTTGTCATATGTGTTATATCCGCTACTGTTGCTCTCGTTACGAAGCACAGGTAGCTGAAGGCCAAAGCGTCTTCATTCACGGAGCTTCCGGTGCAGTGGGTCTGGCAGCTGTACAAATCGCGACGCCCGGCACAGGATGTTCGGGCGTTCGGGGTTTTGTGGTAGTGTTACAAGGGCTTTAGTTTTCCTTGCGCTAGATTCCACACCCCTAGCGCCCAACCTCCGCTTGCAACGACCACAGGAAAGAAACGAACCGGAGCTTCAAAGATCAATTCCCAAAAGTTGAATACCCTGCAAGAACCTAGCCGCCACTACTCACGTTGAGTGGGCAATGCCCTACACAACCCCTACAGAAACCCTCACTGAAGCCGTTAAACCCCCAGAATCCTTTCTAGACCCCTGTAATCTATAAACCCAGCGATGCAGTTCTTGAGAATGGCTCCTGTTTCTAGTTTCTCCTGTTGCTACAAAAGCAGAAACGGTTCTCCAAGCAATGCGGCCAATACTCTGTAGCTCTTATGTTCGACTAGGTTCCTGAAGGTGCGAGGCACGCCCGCCGACCGCACCGGCACGGCGCACATTTTCGACTAGAATCGCGTTCTCGCCGCAGTGCCGTGAGTCGTAGCAGGACCACACTATTCGGCTCCTCGGGGCTTTCTCGATGCGGTCTGAGGAGTGTTGGGATTTGCATCGTGAGTAACATCGTGCTCCTCCTCTTTCGCTGAATTCCTACAGACCCTAGAGAAATACCGTATAATTCCAAAACCCTAGAATTTTCTGCCCTGCAAGAGCCCTCTGAGGAAGTCATTTGGCTGCCGGGTCGTTGGCAGCGCCGGCACAGACCCTGGCCTGGCTGCGGTGAGCGCGGCCGGGGCGGATGCCGTTGTGAACCATCGCGGCCTGGGCTTCGTAAGAGGTGGAGCATTTGGAGTTTTATGCCAGGCATTGAAGAGTGCTTACAGCTTCGGGCTATTGGGGCTTTGAGTTCAGTGCTAAGGGTTCAGTCTTTCGGGGTGCAGGGTTTAGAGTGTTCGGGCTAAAGACCTTTGGAATCCACCCAGTGAACTGCGGAGGGGTGGGGTAAGCGGCCACTTGGGGCCAACCGAGCCGATACTCCATGCGACGTATGGGTAGTTTTCAAATTTGGGGTCCCTTTTTATTTGGTCCCCAAAATAGTACGGCACTCTTACAAAAAGGACCCTAAAAGGGACCCTAATTTAGAGAACTACCCATATGGGAGTTTCGGTCAATTAGGTTTCGAATCTCGACCGTAAATAGCTAGTGGATCGATCCCATGCAAGAACTCTGAGGCAAAAAACCCCAAGACCCGGGAGCACAAAGGCTGAGCAGTCGCCGTGGAACCCTCGCAGGAAGCCCAAACTATGGGTTTTTTAGGGTACGGGTACCCACAAGAAGGACAGCATGAAGGAATCCCTGCCCAACCATCTTGAAAGCACCTAGGGCCTAGGGGCCCTCGCCCACACCCACAGACCCAAAGGCCTAAACAGTAGGAGCCCAACATCTCTAGCTGGTTCTGAATCCCGTGCGTTCGGAGCCCGGAACCGCGTAAACCCCCAAAGCCCAAAGCCCAGACCCAGGCGAGAGCGGATACTTGGAGAAGTGCAAGGAGATCCAGCCCGGTGGGTACGATGTTGTCCTGGACTCATGGCCGCAACTACTAAGTACTACTTGCTGGTTGTTTCGGGGGGAGATTTTTTTGGGGGGGGTGGTTTGGTGGTTGTGGTCCATAGTAACGATAATCGACTTTGATGCGCATCCTGGTCAGGTTTCAAAGCTCCTCAGGACCTCGAGGTTCCATGGAGCTCTGGGTCCTAGGCTGGAAGGCAAGGCTCCCAGGCTGGCAGGCTGCTGGGGCTGCTTTTACCAAATCGTGAAAGCCAACAGGCTTAAACCCTAGGTTGACTCGAGATCCCCAGACACAGTACGAGTTTTACGGTGCCTTCCTAAAACCGCTACTCCTAAACCTCGAGTCCGGCTTGTAGGCGCCGCGACTGTTGCCGAATGCATCTGATGATGGCCATCATCATCACGAGGGTTGGAAAGTGTTCATGGGCCGCAGCGAGTCCTCGTCGTCATCGTCATCAAATCACGAGGCTTGTTCAAGGTTCATGGGCCGCAGCATGTTCAGCATCATTGTCATCTTCATCTTCACGAGGCTCCAGTCCCAGATCCCTTCAGATTGTTCGTGAGGGTCGGGGCACACACACCAAGACTACGTACTGTGCATCTTTCCTAACTATGAATCATTAAATCGAGCTCCGTATCAGTCAATGATGCAGGAAACCTCAGAGACGGAACCTTGAAGTTTCGGGGGCTGGGGCTTCCGGTGCAAGCTTTCAACTCTAGGTTAAAGGCTTGCAGGGAGTTAGGACTTCGAGATCCGTATTTCTGCGCCCTCAGAGAGGCATATTTGAAGGTAGGAAGATAGGCCCCGAACGATCGAAAAAAGGGCACATCAGCGGGTCCGCTCAAGGAGATGGCGGCGCACGCCAATCTCGCTGCGGATCTGTTGCTCGCCGGCCGACGGTCTCGCATTTGCTCCCCGGCCACTATGGCTGAGGGCTTTCACATTTTCACCATGTGAATACTCATGTTTGTTGTACGGGTTCTTGGTAGACCCCACTCAACATCTTTCAGGCTCCTTGTTTGCTCGGCTTCTTTTTGGTAGAAATATCATTCGCCAAGCGTGTCGGACAGGGTTAACAGAAAGAACGTCTCATCATGGTAGTGCTAAAGCCCGAAAATCATCCAAAGGCCGAAGCTTGACCAAAGCGACACGGAAGGAAAAGAACGCCTGGTGGTTTTTACATGAATTACTAGCACCTTTCCATTGGTCCTTGTTGACAACAGCAGGATCCTGCTGCCTGCTGTTTGGTGTTTATGTCAAGGCCCGTCCTTTTCTGAGTGGCTTGCAAGGGGAGACTCAAAATTCCTCGAACCTGGATAGCTCAGACCGACAGCAAGGCATCGTTGGATCCAAAGCTGAAGCCACGAGCGTCAACCCGCGGACGCTGATGCGTGGATCCCAGGAGGGAGGGTTTGGTGCTTAAGCGGGCCTGGGGCAGGGTTTGGAGTTTCCAATTCAGGTTCATGATTTAACGTCGTCGCTGCAAGCGAACGTTTCTGGGGATCAGCATGAGCTGTGTGCTCTCCATACTCACGGGTGGCTATACTCGGCTATACTGTTATACAGTCTTCTATCCTACATCCCCGAACCTAGGTCGCTCCAAACCTCGGAGCCAGGCCCTTGAGTGGCCCCCTGCCCGCAAGCCCGCAAAACGGAGAGTGCTCTGCGATCCCTAATTAAGTATACACCAAGGCCGCATGCCATCAATCCTACAAGCTCTGCAGAGTTTAAGCATGTGCCTTAAGTTAGATCCTGTAAGACTGACACTTTACACCCTAAACAACCCAGACTTCGAACCCCAAACTGAGCAAGACCAGACGCACTTTGACCATGCAATTGTCCTCGAACATTTCTTTTGATTATCCTGAGGCCCAGTGAGATTGACATTCGGGGCGTGTTCCTGGGATCTGCTACGCCCGACGAGCACGCAGACCCTTGGCCGTAATGAGGGCTTTTGGGTGCCGCTTGGGTGCCTAGCAAGCATACTGGCTCGAAGGCGGGTTTTCAAGTTTCAAGGTGTGAATTCGTGTTCGGTGAGGATTTAGGCTGTAAAGGGTTTAGGGCATGTCGGGAGAATTGCAAACACAACCCCCAACCCAAATCTCCGAGGAGATTCACCGATCGCTTTATGACCTCATGGCCGGCGGAAACCTGGCATCTCGCTGCGATGTTCGGGGTTTAGTTTTGGGGCTGTGAGGCTGGCGGTGGCTTTTGGTTTGGGGTTCGGCGGAGGAGAGGAAAAGCCGTATAATTTGTTTCAGAGCTCCCTTTACACTCGTTCGGGAGCATAAACCCTCAATCCAATCATAACTGCAGAGACCATGCGCCAAAACGAGAGGGGCCTCAGCCATGTTCTACAAGAAGCCCAGGCCCCTTGACTCTGAACTCGCCATCTCTAACTCAAAAATGCAAGCCCTGACGCCTCAAGTGCGCATCCAGAGCTGGCTTTCACCCAGGCCCCGGTGGTCAGCATGCAGCTTCCCCTCAGCGATGCCGGGATGGCCCACACAGAGGCGCCAGGACCTCCAGCTTGGAGTAGTTTTTAGGAGTGCGGTGCAGTGTGATTTAATTGCGTGCTTGCTAACGGTTCGTAAAGTTCTACGGTAATTATGTTGCTCTGCATAGTTCTGCCTTGCAAGATCTTAGATTCGCGACCATAAACACCAAACCCCCAATGCCTAAATCCTCAACGGCCGCCTTCTGCCCTAAAATACAATACCTTAAACCCTAAACCCAAACCCCGAAACCTTTCCTCCCATGCAGGTGATGCAGCCCAGTGCCGGCGGCGCTGCCGGCAACGTGGTGCTCCTGCCCTGGGTGGAGTCCAGCCTCTGAGCTCTTGCAGCAAGGACCCGAATATATATGGGGACTTTTAGGGGGGCCCTCGGATTCCGCAGTGTTTTTCTTCCATGTGACTCTTTAATCCCGCTGGACTGATTGTTGTTTCGATGGGGAGTGCATCAACCAGGGATCTGCATTACTAAAACCCAAGATCTGAAAAGGTGTGAGGGTTAGATAGGGTTAGGAGTCGATGAGGCCTCTTTAAGATGTCCGGCTGCCATTTGTTTGACCTGTGCGTGCTGCCGACGGCCAAAAGCTGCTTGAGTGCATCAGCAGCCGGGGACCTGCGAAAATAATCCGAAGCCCTCGTGCAATGACCTAGAATCTGAGGACCTTTGTACCGCAGTTAGCTTGCTTAAGCCTTAAATCACAAACCATAAACACTACAGTACTGTACAAGAGCCCGAAACACCAGCCGCAAAGAATGTCTGGACAGAAGCCAAACCTGAGCCAACCGCAGGCCCAAGCTTTAAGACCTTAGTCTAACATATGAGCTGGTTCTCTGCAAGACTTGTACAAGCATGTACCTGTAGGTAAATGAACCTACCGTAGCTTTTGTTTGCGGCCAGGGTCCATGCCTCGAGCATTAGAAGACTTTGTGCTCTCTAGTTGGCTCCAGCAGCAACCCGAAAAGCCGCAAACCTGCAACAAGCCTACGTACACCACAAGCCGTGAATCCAACAATGCCCTACGAGCTTCTAGCTATCTAACTGCTGTCTTTTAAAACCCTTGGCAGTCAACCACTACACACTCCACAAAGGATCTCCATGTTTCAGTGGTGCCTGCGCACGTTGACGTTTAGAGCGAGCTAAACTGAGTTTAGCCTAAACTCCCAACGCCGAACTCCAGCGTTAAATGTAAAGCCTTCAACCTCACGAGGCTCTCCTCTGAGGGTCGCGGCACCGAGATCGCCGGCACACCGCCATTCATGTCCCCAGAGGTCAGAGGGAGCGGGCGGTATTTCATGTTGCGTATGGTTTGGTGCTTAGGGTTTAAAAGTTGCCGCGTTAAGGCTCCATCATCCCAGAATCATGCCTGCAGAAGCTGTTAGAAGCAACCCCTTCGAAAGCATGGGCCCTTTAATGGCCACGCGCCGGTGCCCCATACCCTTACAGGAAAGAAACTAAACAAGGCCGGAACCCGAATTCTTGGAGACCTGATGCAGGTGTGGGCGGGGAATTTCAGCAAGAGCTGCGACATTTGGTGCGGGGCTTGTCCTCGACGTCCTGCACCGGGCGCGTTGCGTTGGCAGGGTCGGACGTGCTTGCACAGGCATTACGAACCCTTTAAGACTTTAAGACTTGAAGAATCAAGAACACATGTGTTTTTCGACAGCTTCTTCTGTACGTATTTGCACATGTACGTATGTCATGAATGTCATGTATGTGCATGTGTCGTTGTGGGTGTACGTACATGTGACAGTGTGTATGTAGTGATGCACGGAGAGTAGTGGTAATTAGAAGTTGAGTAGTAGCAGTAGTAGTAGTAGTAGCAGCAGCAGCAGCAGCAGTCGTCGTCGTCGTCGTCGTCGTCGCGTCGTCGTCGTCGTCGTCGTGGTCGTAGTCGTAGTCGTAGTCGTAGTCGTAGTCGTAGTCGTAGTCGTAGTAGTAGCAGCAGTAGCAGTAGCAGCAGCAGCAGCAGCAGCAGCAGCAGCAGCAGCAGCAGTAGTAGTAGTAGTAGAGCAGTAGCAGTAGTAGCAGATTTTGTTCTCGTTCTCGCTAGCGCAAAAGCCTTATACAGTCAGTACAATATTTGGACCAGATGCCTTTACTTAAATACGAGTCTTTTGAGCCTTAGGGCTTTAGAGCCACCGCACGACGAAGCTTCCTTTGGAGACCCGGCCGGTGCGACCTGGGACGCGCCGGGCCAACGCCCAGCGTTCCACCAGGCACTGAGTTTGGGGTTTTGGGTTCAGATCAGAGTTCCTTTAAAGGACTTCTGCAGGGTTCAGGGCTGTAGTGCAGGGTGTGCGGTTTCGGGATCCTTGAAATAGTTTCTGCAGGGGTGGGAGATTTTTGGTGTAGTGTTTGGGGTTTACACGAAGCCCAGGGCCCAAAAAACTTGGAAACCGGAACCAGGATGTCACGAGGGCTTCCTCCCGAATCATTCGGCACGACCTTCCACAACAGCAGCAGCAGCAGAAACAGAACCGCAACAACACCACCACTGCCACCACTTGCACGGTCACCACTGCCAGCTGTAGCCCAGCATCATGCCATGACACGACACAAGCCAGGAAGACAAATCAAAACAGGCAGTCAAGACACATCCTGAAACATATCCCGAATAATCTAATCTTGTGCAGCAGTTCCGGCGTACTTGCAATTGCTATGCGAGCAGCAAGTGCAACAATATCGTAGTGGTGTAGCAGCATGCAGCAGCCACAGGCGTAGCTGTACACGCGATCTACATGCGGGCTAGAACCTCCAACAACTATAACAAGTATAGTACTGGTGTATATGATGAAGGGGCGCGGACAGCAACGGCGAAGACTTGGTCTCTTGCGAAGCCTTAAGCACAGCTTAGTTCTCCAATACCCAACCTTTAAACTTTTTGGGTTCTTAGAATTTAGTAGTACTCTGAAAGTTTAACCTTTTTTCCGCTGGCTTGTTGGGGAAGTAAGACAGTCACAGTCCGGCTCAACCCACAGCTTGTCGAAGGAGCGCCCGACGTGCGGTGGGGGCACGCCTCATGCCGAAGCCCACTGCGGAGCTGGGCAGGGTTGAAGGGTTTAGGGTTTTAGGGTTGAGGGTTTAGGGTTTAGGGTCAGGGCCGAATGTAAGAATGTCATTACCTCTTGCGTAGTAGTAGCACTAGCACTAGCAGTACACGGCCCGTACTAGCACTCGTACTAGTACTAGTACTTGCACCAGTATCAGTACCGGTGCTACTACTCGTGCCAGTACGAGCACATTTGCTTTTATGCCAGCAGTACTACTAGCAGTGGGTACTATCATCGTTGCGAAAGTGTCGTCAAACCAATCCCCGCGAGAGACATGCAAGGTATGCCCTGAGCCTCAGGTTTGAGTTGTTGATGTCTGGTTTGCACCATCAACACCTTACGGTCCATCATGGGCATCGTGGAGGTGTTGTCAGTTTCTTGTTGGGTTACAACATCTGAGCGCGACATACTTTTGCCTAAAAGGGGTTCTATTACATATATACATACATACATACATACATACATACATACGTACGTACGTACGTACATACATACATACATACATACATATATATATATACATACATGCATGCTGCTTTAACTACTCAAGTCTATTGACTGGGTGATAATGAGTAGCTCCAGGGCCAATGTACATACTGTATAGGTACATGGAATCAACAACTGGCAACGGAAATCAGATAACCCTAGCCTAGACCCTATAAAGCCCTAAACACTGAACCCTATAAAACCCTAAACCCTAAATCATGAGAAGTGGAGGAGCCCACGGTGCGATCTTTCGACATCAGCAAGGCAGGGATCTTCCGTCTCCATGCCAGAATGCGACCCAGTCTTTGCAATGGGTGCTAGATAACTTGACAGACAGCAGACAGTTGGAAGAAACCCGACATCAGCTGCGGAAGAGGGCTTACGATTTTGCGTTGGGCCTTCGAACCCAGCTCATGCTAAGCTTGCTTCGTTTTCCGGTAGAGCGCCCTAAAATTCGATACCTACAGGTCGCATATTCCACATTACCAAAACCAAACTCTACCGAACGGCTACAGAACCACGTGAGTCTCAGCTCTACGGAAGGGAAGGCGTCTTGTTCTCCTGAAGCGTTCACTTGCTACCTCGGTGCTTGCATACCAGCTCTTTTGGAAGATGTTGTGTCCACCTCTGTTAACACGAAAGTCTCAATCAGGAGGTCTTTGGGGCCAAAGCTTTGTTAAGTGTGTACTTCTACTCAACAGCAGGAGCTTCTTATGCAAAGCCGTTCAGGTTCCCCTGAACCTACAACCCCAAGTCTCATCGATGCCCACCCATGCCCACCCCAAACTCCAAATACATGTTAAGGCTTGAAGTTGGGACCCCAACACCCTGTCCGAGTGTGAGCGCCGAAACCCGAAAACGCCTACCATACCTTACGCCCGAAACCTTGGAAATGTCTACATTCCATTTCTTATTATAGGATCCTAACCATCAAGTACGTCATCGAAAGAAAGATGCTACATTCTAGGGTCTATGGGTAGAGCTCCAGGTCCGGGCCAAGCTTCAGCACGGTATCCGTGGAGCTGGACACTGTGCAAACAAAAAACATGCGATGGGTCTCACAGGATTCTGTGAAGGATTTAGATTGAGTCTGCAGGGCTTAGGATTTTCGTAGGGTTTTACGTCTTACGAAGGATTCAGAAGTGCTCTTTTTTGGGTTTGTGAGGAAATTGAAAGATCATGAGCCTGGCCCTCGGTTCCCAGACATCCCGGAACCCCATCCCCGTGATTGAAGTGATCCTTGTGGTGTTTTGATTTAGGGTTTAGGGTTTAGGCTTAGGGTTTAGGGTTTCGGTTCAGGCCATGCTTAGACTGATGGAGAGTTTCTTAGGTCAAGGCCCTGCCGGGTGAGCGGACGGGGGTGAAGGGGAGGGTGAACAAGCATATCTAGAGGATTTGCTATTAGCTTCTGCCATGTCTACTTGAGTAGGCACCCTGGCGTAATTCACAGGTTAGCCAAGGATCTCACCGACTAGGAAGATCGCAACCCAAAACACTGAATCCTAAAACACTTTCAGCAATTGGGACCCTGAAGCCATTCTAAAACTCCACGCTAGGTTCCCCAGTAGTACCCTTTTTAGCCCTTGTTCTTTTTGCGTTTCCTGTTCACAAAACCAACGAGCAGTAGGAAAGAGGGGCACCCTTGCTATTAGGGGGATACTGGGGATCCTAGTAAGTCTAACTCCGCCCCTCCCCCTCATCGCCTAAGCCGTGATCCCTGCACCCACGAGTTTGGCCATCAGTCGTAAACCACAAAACCTATGCTCGCTGCCACAGACAGCGCTGC